CATGGCCTACAGGTGACGTAGAACCCTAGGCGGTGAACACGGAACCTCGGAGGTTTATGATCCTATATGTTCTCTTAAGTACCACCGGGCCTCCAGTCCGGATGATCTATCACCCGAAGAGAGTGCTGTTTTCCATGCCCAACTCAGAGTGGCGTAAACAGAGAGGTGGCAAACCCTTGACTTGGCAGAGGAGTATGAAGGAGGTCACGAAACGTTTGGGTGTCGCCGGTGCTACTCCCCTTCCAGGATGGGGACCGCGTGATCCTCACTGCACCTGGTTGGAGACGTTGCAAGATATGGCTGCCAACCGATGCCAGTGGCGTCCTTGCCGTCAGTTTCTATCCAGATCGCCTGAGTGAATATCTGGAGGTATAGGCACCTCGGAATGACTGCGGTAAGCTAGCACCAAGTCCCTATTCTGTCAACGTTTACCAATTATTTCAGAATAAGTCATTCAACTAAATTGTGGCTGTACGGCAGCGGAGCATCAGTGTTGAACGCTGATGCTTTCGTTGATGATGATGATGATGATGATGATGATGATGATGATAATGATGATGATGATGATAATGATGATGATGATAATGATGATGATGATGATGATGATGATGATGATGATGATGATGATGATGATGATGATGATGATGATGATGGAAAGTCTGGAAGTATCTCCCATTTGATCCTAAGATGCAAAACTACTCTGAATGCAGACTCATTTTTTCCTAAAGCCTACTCCACAATCTGTTCCGATTGACCGCGAATGTACGTTTTGAACACCATACAAGTATCAACTTTGTCCAGCACGCATGGTTCTGGGAGAACCGGATACCGGTGGAAGACGAGTGCACTCGGGAGAAAAATCTCTAAGTATTCCCATTTAATCCTAGCGTGCAACGTGATTTCAATGCTGACCATCTACTCACCGCATTCAGTGCAAATGCACTCCCTGAATGAGACATGAGTTCACAGTTGAGGTACGGAACGACTGTGTAAATAGATGCATTATCCCATATCTGCTGATCAAGAAAGAAGCGCCAAGATGAGCCGCCATTCAGAGGATAACATGCAACCAACCGAGAAACGGTCAAAGCAGAGATGATAAACTTGCACCGTAGCAACGACTGGGGGAATAGGGCGATTACCAATCATCCTCTCAAGCGCAGAGTAGACCTGACTTTTCACGTACACACAAGCAGCGCGAATCTCCTGTAACACCGCACTTTGTGACAATTCGACTCACTGGCGTTCCTACCTACAAGAGATCTGTCGGTTGGTGCACTTTAGCTGTTGCATCGGATTTCAAGGTCGAAATATCCTGAAGAGTATTCATCGTGATGTGAACAACACTAGCGTGGGCGAGTTAGGATTGATGCAGCCTTTTCAGTGTGAAGTAGGTTAAATTGGCTTTTTTTAGAAGCGTGGAGAATATTTCTGGTTTTCAACATCACAGAAGGATGATTGGTCGCTCGACAGTAACGCATTTGAACGAATTCAGAGGAAGCCCATCAGACCACCAATTCAGACGTCATCAATTGTAGAAGTGAAGACTGTTCCTTCAGTGGCTCCAAATGAATGCGGTTCGAGTCAGGCGTTCAACAACCATCCAAGTCTGTCGCGCCCATCTTGCTATCAGCGCATCCTACAAAACGACATATCTAAGATTGATTTTCCGACTTTCATGGGCAAGTCATAGGCGAATAACTGACAGAAAATCACAGACTGTTGAATGATTGACACGGAGTACATATCATAGTTGACAAGTCAGTTGACATGATGGACGGGATTTAGACATTTGCTGGTCAGAGATCGTTTACCGACGTCAGTTGGCCGATGGGTGTATAGGCTCTGGAATATGCTGACAGCCAACTGATCATCACTTGTCTGTGTTGTCAGCGGATGTTGCAAGCGCTTGAAGCCCAGTAAGGTGACGGATAATCAACCCTATTACTGCCCTTAACTATCCGACAATAGACGTCTCAGTACCTGGTTGATTTAGACAGTCGAACAGAGCTACGAGGTGATAATCCGCAGCCACTCACTTAGAGCGTGGTATGCCTCATGTCAGTGTCACCTGGTATTAGTAAAATATGTGTGTACCCGACGAACTTCACATTTTTGAAGAGACCGTTAACTGAGGAATCCGGTCACAGTCTATTGGCTATCACAAGGATGACCACAACGACTCGAATGCCAGTTGGCCTGTGTGATAGAGCAGTGTGACAGAGGACCCGTTTCCTTCAAGTTTCTGGTTACACTGCATGGCGGAGGAAAGCTTTGACGGAGAGTATCAGTTGCGCACTGTACACGGTTCAACACATTCTGATGCACTCAGAACCCTCATGTCTCATGTGACAAATGCGTTGAGATAAGTGACATGGTCAATGTGTACCATTTGAAAGAGGTTTGCGGTGGTTGGTCCTGGCAAAGTTGGTTCCGTGGAACCACCGCTCCGATTCTAGTGTTTCCATGACGCCCTAGTTTTCTCGTAACACTCGGTGCTCAAATCAGTGTGGGAAATTACTAGAAGCTCGCATAGTAAACAAGATTGATCCGAGTATTTCGTTCCACCTATACAACGAGAAAGTGAAAAAATCTGATGGAAAGCGAACCTGCAAAACGGCATCCAAATGTTCGATACTCTCAAGTCACATCAATCGTCCCGCGAACTTCAAAATATTCAACCGATGGTTGAGTATAGGGAGAGCGATGTTCAAGCGTAAACGCATGATGATTTTTGTGAGGTTGAGTATATAGCTTCCAAAGTGTTTGTATATTCCAGAATCCTTTTAGGAATCCTTTTAGTACCTACGTAATAATCTCAGAGGATCCGAATATCCGATGGAAACTTTCATGTTTGCACAAAATGTCTGTGTTTTACGACACATTCAGTAAGCATGCTGGAGCCGTTCATACCACACGGTCCCCAACGTCAATTAGTAAAAATCGTGGACGCGCGGGGACATGTTCACCCCTCAAGTCACTTTTTTGTTTAGATTTGAGGCAACATAGTTAATGGTTAACCAGATTAAGTTTTGGTGACGCTGTAGCGTTCCGAATCGAGAAACTTCACTTTTGATTTAGAGCGCGATATTTTATCCGTCCTCATAATGCTTGTGTATTCAGCAGTCGAGGGCAATCAAGGATAATCTTTAAGACACTTGAGCTTTTGTTTTGTACTGCAAGGCAATTTGCTGCATGCCACGTGATTCTGGGCCGCGAATCCAGACAAAGCATTGACTATTACCCAGGTCTGGAAACGCGAGAGCGGTGGTCTTGTTACATCTTCCAGTCTGAAATTTACTTGACTTTGTATATACATGTCGTTACTCCACACGTCTACCCATTTGCAGTTAGTTCTTTTCCACATGCCATTAACCAATATGTTGTGAGTATTCGGCCCGCCGTTTCCCCACATCTGAAACACCAATGCTGAAAAAATTTCATCCACTGTTATAAGGAATGATTTTTGAGCACAATCAGTCCACAGGTGTGTTGGCGTTCAGAGTTTCTATTGCAGTTTCCTTTAGGGAAACGAGAACACGATTGATTTCTCGGGGAATACCAAAAACGTTCCGAACCTTTTCAAGATGCTTCATCCGTTTGGAGCGATGAGGGAAACTGCAGAAGACGAACCATAGTGACAGAAATTTAAACATCTGTTTTCTGATTATCGGAGAGGGTTTCGCAAACACAATCCTTGTATAAACTAACTGGTCACACTTCTGTGAAATCGGTGCTCAGTGCGCTCATATATGGGGCTAGGAATAGTGACAATGTGAAACGAGAGAATTGTGAACATCGGTCTGCTTTTTTGCTGTTTAGATTCAATAACCGTTGGCCCACAACGATATTCATATGTAGTTATTCCTTAGCTATCCGAAATGACAATTCTTCCCGTGAAAATCGGCAAACCACAGATAATTTGGGTGATTTCTGAGAGACAACTTTCCTCAACTAAGTTCCTCTCACCCAGTGAGTTCAAGTGAAACTGGTAGGTACGAACGAGAAGAGCTATATCAAACTGGACAGAAACTGTCAACTTCCTGCCCTCAGGGCAACTTTTCTCGTGATTTTCAAGTAAACCGAAATAATCTGAACGCCGAAGTGAATGACCATAAAAAAATGGTCCCTTTCGAAATAAATAATTAATGCCATTGTCTTCAAAATAAGGTAGATTTGCATGCCATGTCACCGGGTGACATTATCCGCGGTCTAGAATCCAGAACACAAGTGTTGAAACGAGACAGACTGTTCAATCTCCCCTCACGTTTGTGTCACGAGAAATCCCTGTTGCCACTGTGGGCAACATGCAAACTTTTGTTTTTTCGGTGCAATAAATTGATTACTGTCGTCCTCTGCAGTAGCGAGAAGTTTTCCACATTTTCACTGCACTCAGCTGTTCAAGGAAATCACTTCCCTGCGCGTGGTAAACGGGCAACAGTGGACTGCGTACCGGTGCCCAACAATCACGCACACAAATGATAACTATTTTTACCGCATTCCAGCCTGACCATCTTGTCACACAAGCTCATCACGAATCACCAGGACATTATTCCTCGTTCTAATGAACGAACGGAAGAGTTTCAATGATCACATGGGCTCTTCTCTCGGAACTGATACTTCACTGTTCCGAATATGATGTATGGAAACTAGAGTACTCATAAATTATGGTTGCTGTTACAACTGATGCGACAGCGAGTATGACCAATCAGTCAATGCTTAAGTTGTCAACGTTATTAACCCAGGGTTGAAATGTCCTGCAGATATCCTACAACCGGATGTGGGTATTTGCCACAAAAGATCGATATTTGGGTGGATCATAAAGTTCCTTCAATCACCCTCTCATTTCGGTCCACCCAACGGTGACCGTTGAGCAATCGGTGTACTCAGCTCCGTCTGATGGAGGACTGGATTGGGACGGCGATGGCCTCTCTCAGCGGAGTATGTTCTCCTCATCTTGAGCATCTATTCTTCTGCTCACGCGAAAGTGGATCAACTCGAGAATTAATGGTCAAGCTGCAACTAATTTCAGAGTGCCCTCACCTCAAATACCTCATGAAAGCATCTTCGACTTTCTTCCTGTAACTTTCTAAGGGCTATCGTACGATTCACTGTCAGCCTCGTTGTGTACCACGTTTTCCAAAATGATTTATTTTTCCCATTAAACGTCCGGTGGAGCAAAACTAGCGACTTGCAAAACAAAAGCCATTAATCCAATTCATGTCTGATATAAAACTGATTTTATTCTTGATCATATGATTATTATCCGCGTTCTCCAAAAAATTTACTTTTTCTCCGGAAAATTGCTGAACAGTGTTGAGAATTTTTACGTTCCAGGCATTTGGGGCACTGAAAAACTTTAAGGATCGACTGTGTATTCATTCGAATGGTGCTTTTAACAAAGGCCTCAGTGCGGTGGACTTAGTGTTCTGTTGTGAGGACTGCGGATTTGGATGTAACGGAGGATATCCTTCTGTGGCATGGGACTATCGGAGGTGGTTCAAAGGAAGACCCAAGTGGATGCCGGTCTTATCTATTTTTGAAGTGGTGCGTCAGGTAAATATTTGCTTATCGCATCGTGCAAATGTCCCTGGATAACACACAGCACTGGCTCAATTTTCCCCACCTGGCGTCTTAATACCGGTCATATTTCGATCATTGGAATAACCCCTTCAGAGTGCAGAAAGATCTATATGCAGCGAAAATTCTAGAACAGAAAATTATCTTCAAATGCTTATTCACTAAACAAGGTCAGCGAACGAGATCATGCGGAAGTGTGCCTGTGCCTGTAAGTTGCTGACAGTTGCTTCCTTTAGTAAACCGTAGAGTTCTTGTTACCCTTTTTCCGCTTTGATGTCGATCGAAGTTTAAATGTGGAACACAGAACAAGGAAGCCCACTTTGTTTACCGCCAACACTCCTATTTACCTGTTCATCAGTGAACTGTTGATTTCACTTACTGATCTAACCATTGTTGACATGCTTCAGGGTTTCGGCGACCTATTTAGGCAAGCGCCGTGACCTTTTGGTCCACCGATTTTTCGTTTACCTTTCGTGGAATCCTATGTTGTGCCTGTATATATGTATAAACGATAAGCCATAAACTTTCAGCCGGTTCGTGGACAAAATGATTCACACGAGGCATAGCGTAAAACACATTTTCAAATCCTCAACATTCCTCGGTCCACATGCACAACATTTTGGCACCGTATTTTCTTCGTTCCTGTTTCCCTCATTTGTAATAATCCTTGAAAATTCCGTAGTGTTCGGGGTGGACTGCAATCACACACATCAGGCACACTGTTTTCTGGACCCGACATATTCTGGATTTGTAACTCAAATGCAAATAAAGTAAAGTGGTGCAGAGCACTCGGTTAGGTAATGATAGTCGTTCGAAATCTCAGTTGGATGACCAAAACGGTTGGTAAAATGGTAATTTCTCTTGCATCTCCCATACAATTTTTCATATCTAGGTGCTAAACTGGTGTTTTGAATTCTACCTGAATTTAGTGACAGACACTTGATGCATTCAGTGCACAGTGGGACACAGTTTGTTTCGCACGAATGAGTAGTGAAGGGATTTTGTGACCTGTTAGTTTTGTTGGAAATTTTGCTTGGAATTTTCGATTGGGTGGATCCCATCGAAATCTTTGTCCTCCAGAATTCTTTTAAGATGATTTTTTTTACACATAGTCATATATCCAAAGGGAAAAAATTAATCAGTTAATCGTGCCTGCCAATTATCGTTAAAGTTACGCTACCAATGATCTCATGGGGGCGCTGTCAACAGTTACTTGAATATCAGGAAAAAACGAGCTGTATTCTCCTGCCAAATGTAAGGGAAAGTGGAGACCAAATATTCTTGTATACGCGCAACTGGAGCTGTTTTTTTGCTGTGTTCTTATGCTTGGGTATGCCAGACGAG